ATATCCGGTAAGATACATACTCCGTTCGATGCTCTGTGATGTCGATTTGCAGCGAGCAGGCTGGATTCCGTTTCTTCCGCGGAATGTTGTGTTACTCGAAGTAGTCGAGGTTCATCATAGTGCAAGTTGTTTGGGTGTCTTGCGATGCGGCTCAGCGTAGTGGGTTCAGCGCGCATGCTGATGGCACTACAGATGGAATCCCACTGACTACGATCGTCTATCAGTTCGCTCTTTATTGTGTTGGATTTGGATTCAGGAACGTTAGTGCACACAAGGCTTAAGGCACCATGATTCCGCCTTGTGGTTTGCGACTTAACAGCACTAGGTTCTTTTGCTTTTTGTGGATTTGTGAACCGCACTGGCGATAGCGATCCATGTTGAGGCACAGTTTTGACCTCTCCGATTAGTGGAGTCACAGGCGTCTTTGACGGCGTTTTCCCAAAAGCAACCGCTGCGTAGGATGTGCAGTTATATTTTTACCGTAGGCTTTCTGGAGTTTTGTGTGTCCAGTATGTCAACTGAATTACTAGTTATTACACCGTTGGAGGACGTAGTCACAAGTGGGTTGTAAACGACTTTTTCACTTAGTGAGGTCATGGGGCTAGGGGCGGTTGGAGACTGAGACGCGATGATGGGGTTGGGATGGCTGGCCCTCTTCCTCGGCCTAAACGGGGAGTTTGTAGGTGTCCGTTCAGTTTCAAGTATAGCGTTGTTTACTTTCACAGCTGCGTTGCTAGCGTTCACCAGTTACTCAACTGTTTCCGTCAACTTTTCACACTTTTTCATTAGGAAAATTACACAACTAACGACAGGAATGGATTTGCACACCTGGCAGAAACAAAACGCTTCCGTTTTGCTGCTGTATTGTCTAGTTTTGAGTGCACTGATCCATAAACACTTCGAATGGTACGCTTTTTGACAGTTAAAGCAAACTTGACCAGACTTAGCAGTTTTTACACATAGGTCACAATTGATTTTCGGATGGGCCATATCCACTTGAGGCGTGTACTTTGTTAATATGACTTGCACCAATTCCAAAAGGGATTAGATAGAAAAGGAAAGTTCAGAATCTATGTTGTAGATCTCTCACTTACCACTAGCTTAGAATGGACAATTCTACTGAATTATGTGGTCAAGGTCAGTAATGGGGCAGTGAAGTAGGAATGACCGCAGATGGTGGTGATATGGTGTAAAGATTCACCACTAACAAGATGGAATGGAGTAACTGGATGTGTACACTACAACAGGGGTAGCAAGAGGATAGAGACTGACGCACCGTGTATGACTTCGCTTCAGTTTTCGTTGCGCGGCGATCGGCACTGGTTTGAGGTCAGGGGAGTCAGACGTGTGGCATTCAGATGAGTCACACGTTCCTTAGGATAGATAGGCGACGTGCGTGGCTTTGATCCAGCAGGTAAGTGGATAGGTAGCGATGCAACGTAGGATTGAGGCAAGGCAGAACAACTTGGAAAATACTGTCTATTGACGACAGTGGCTGCACAAAAGGCAGACCAAATTGGCAACTATCACTTTGTACAGCAACTAGAAGGAGTGGTAGTAAGATGCTCGGGTGACTCTCAAAAAGCTTTTTAAAATAAGACCACCAGAGTTCTTGTGCGACGAGAGGAAAAATAAATTGTCCGATAAAATTCAAGCACGGTTGACTTCGAAAGTGCAAAAGCACAGTTTGCTGCTGATCCGGGAGTGACAGATCCAAAAGGTGAATAGTGGTAGGAGGAGCTCGCGGAGCCCAATTGAATGATAGTACGTAGGTCACTGTGAGAATAAATCCGAAGAGTTCAGGACGAATAATGCAGGAGGACTCTTTTGTGACCGCTCGGTGCGGACACGCGGGCACAACTGTATCTTCTACCTTATCGTGTAGCCAGGTTTCTGGGAGCATAATGACAAAGTTGAGTGTATTCGTGACAGTATGTTTTACTTGTAAGCCCTTCTAATTTGCCCACAAGCACACGGATGTTTGCACTGATCAAAATAGGTGTACTCATAGGTTTGATTACTTGCCTTCGATGTGCAACCCTTCATCTTGCGCTGTGCTTTTGTGTGGAACTACTCCGTTTTCTTTTTTATTCTTTTCCATTTATTACGTACAGACTGACCTAGTTCACGTTCGTGAAAACGCGCGTACTTTTTTAACATGTCGCCAGCGTAGGTAATCATGACGCCATTCGTGCAATGAACAAGTGATGAGTCAAAACAAGTGAGTAATAAACTAATGCAGGTGAGCGTGTGTGTTGATAAAGCCGATAGACAGGAGGCAAAAAGCGCGACCGAATTTGAAGGCCTCTTCATTCGTATTGTAGTTAATTTTGTTCACCATAATAACACTCGATGCTTTATCCGACCTCATTAACGTTACGTACCACATCTCTTTCAACTCTCCAATCACCGTATGGTATTCAGCTTTCAGAGAGCACCCGTTACTTATCGATGGGTTCAGTTAGTGGTTAGAGAAATCCACCAATTCTACCCGAAACCAACCCGACTTGTCCGTTGATCTTAACGAGAGTTCATTGAGCTGTTCACACAGATAACTAAAATGCGCCGACGCACTGAGCTTGCTTGTCAGCTTTAGTGACAACCTGTATTTCGTTCCAAGCGCAAGCACTTCCACACAGATGCGAATGAACTGAGTAGATGATACGCATGGTTCGAGAACTTAGTCGGGAAGGAAGCATTGGTGGCCCCTGAAAGGGATGGTTGCAGCTTGCGCACCGCATAGATTCTAGCACGACGGAGAAGGGCAGCGAAAATGCCTCACGTTTCATGTGGCAAAACCAACTACAACCCATGGAGCGTGATACGTATCGTCTCTCTGTCTTGAAATATTTTTGTTCCCGTTCAGGACAAGCCTTGAGGTCTGCGGATGCGATCCCAGTAAGATTAGTGTTGTTTACAGGCAATTCTTTCCTCGATAATGTCTTGGTAAGCTGTGGTGGAAAACAGCATGTTCGGATAAACTGCTCCAAAAAATCACCACCGTGCATTCTACCGTTGGACTGCAGCGTAAAGACAAAAACCGGTCGAATACCCATGCTGCAGCAAAGGGAAGTCATCTTCCTAGTAAAAGGAAACGGTGAGACTCCTTCAGTTATTTCGTAAAAGCAGAATGTATGGGTTGCGATAGGTCAACCTTTCAATCGTTCGTAGCAGTCACACACAGTCACACACAATACACGGTTAGATATTTATGCGTTTTGCACTTTCGTATTGTACCCCTGCCGTGTTGGGCTGATAAGTCATTAGCTTTCCCAATCATAAAAGAACAGCTCCAAATAACCAATCAGTTAACTTGTTTAGGTAGCTGTTCCCTCTGTTTTTCGCAGTACTGCACGCATTCCTAAGGCTTGTATGGCTTCTCAAAGCCTGTCACTTGTAGAGACAACGGATATCCCTATGGAACAAGGGAAGAGCTTGCAGTGCTGCGGTACGGCTAGTGTTAAGGGGCCCTATCGCTACACAGAGAGGACACCAAAAGTTTGATCATCATTGCTAGCGAAGTACTCATCATAGACGGTGAGAAAGCCGAGCGGGTAATACTATTTGGCATCTAGTGGTTACCCTTTGGACCGCCCCTAATGTAGTGGCCTTCTGTTATTGGTTGATATTGGGAACAAGCATTTATCTTCCAGCAAATAAAATACTAAAACTATTAAAACTAAAGTAACCAATGTAAAGGCATTCATCCCAGTAGCTTACAAGCTGAGAGTAATATAAAATGAATAAATAATAAAACAAAACTGATAATAATAACATAATAAACCATAACAAAATAAGCAATAAATAAACATAATACTACAAAGAATCAAACAGATAAACCGTCGAGACCCATTCTACGTTTCTTTGCGGCCCATATCCCGACCAGGTGTGAGCACAGTGTCGTAGCGGTTATCCTTTTACGCATGTACCTGCTAGCCTGTTTTGGAAAACATATCTTCATATGTGGCTTGACAACAAACCTTCCGGCGCCTCAACAGAGTGCCCGTTAAACCTAAATAACGCTATAATACGATCACATGACCGGCATGCCTCCAGACCGACTGCTCCGGTATAGTTGTTTGCCAGTCTAGTTGTGTAAAGTCCTAAGGGAGCCAATCAACGATATCGCAAGCGGACATACAAAAACCGAGTGGCTGTTGTTGTTTTGATTATTGCGATCTTCTCTAGTGGATCACGTCAGCGGGTGGTCAGCTTATCAGAAATGACGCCGTCATGTGGTCCAGGGTGCCGTTGCGTTCGCTGCGACGATTAGGAACCTTGATTAAACCGTCTACTCATTCCAGCTATTATTGTGGTTTTAATGTATATTGCGGTCATTATTATTCTAGCTTGGCGTATCAAAACAACTAGATCACGTGCGAATGTAAGCGATTCGCTGGAGTGCCAGTCGTTGGCGTAATCTGCCGAAGAGCGCTTATTCTACGTCCACACCGGTTGCATGCTCTTTGAAAATGGAAAATACGCGACCCCACAAATTGAATTCCACTTCCAATGCAGGTGGGCTCGTTGCTCATGGGAGAGAGATGCAACTAATTTGAATAGTAGTAAACTACAGAGGCATCAAACCACAATAATAACAAACGGCCCTACTAGTGACCGTAGCGAAGTCATCACAAGAGCTGGGTGAACAAAATGTAAGTGAAGGCACGGACACCATCAGGTGCCTGGATAATTACACAAGCAGGCCACCACAATTGCAAGGAGTTGGGTTGCTGGCAAACGATTAAGAAGTAGGATTGCTAGTGTGTAACGACCTCTAGAGCAGGGAATTAAGTTTGCGAGTTATTGCTGAGCACAAGGGAAGACAACAGATGAATATCGTCCATGACAACGCATTACAATATGATGCACACTGAGAATAGCAGCCTGCCTTGCGGTTGAATGAAGCCCGGTGAGCATCCAACCCAAGCATGGTTAGTGAAGAACAATCCCGTAATCGACTAAAACTTTACTTTTAAAAACACGAATTATGCTAAGCGATAACAAACGGGGGAGAAACGCTGTCAAATTATGTGCACGAAAGTATAATTAAAGTGGAAAGGAGCCTCGGGTCTTCAGGTATTCCAGTAACTTCGGACACTTTTTCAGAACCAGTTCCCGATGCTTCTGGATGGTCAGAAACTTCTCACTGATAAATCCAGGCACGACCATCTCTACCTGGTACGTGGTGTACAGGATGACCAAGTCGCCTAAAGACAGTGTGTTTCCAGCGACCAGCCCGCTCGGAGAAGAATCCGAATGTTGACAAATCAGCTGCGAGAAAAGAAGCACAAGAAACATGAGGTTTCGTGGGCATAATTGTTGCCTTGATGGGGGCATATAGTTCACATAGCGCACCCGATCGAAACGGTTCGGTGAGACACCCGCGTCCACAGATATCAGCGATAAGTTGCACATGCCATTGTGAGCAGTAATTTGTGTCCAAGATGTGAAGCACCTGAATGTTCTACTACGATGCACCAAATGCTACAGGCTCGTCCTTCCTCAGGTGGCCTAAGTAATCACCCTAACTCATTTAGTTGCGAGTTCCTTAAAGCTATCGCGTTCGTTGGGTTCCACCATCGCGGGGCGCGCCTTCCCATCTGAGTCCTGTCATTCGCGAAGTCTTCTGGCGTTACAGGCATTTAGAAACTAAATTAAATACCCTTACTTTAATGTAACCACTAGAAGCCCCAGAATGTCACCACTATACAAGCACTTCAAAAGGGGCGAACAAGCAATAAAGAATACCTGATGTACTATGCGGTGGGTTCGATCATGTCGACGCTCATCACATCCACCTTGTTCATTAGTGACAGTCGACATTGCAAATCAGATTGAATCGCACACCTCAGATAGTAAGTACACACATCGAACAGGATATCCAAAAGTTGCGCATTTCACGGAAGCTAGAGTGGCATGCGGGTGAGCATTATGGCTGAAGCGGAACGCAAATAGGTGTTCCAGCTCGAATGATAAACATGAACTGAAGCGTGATAGACGTAGTACATGTTAGTGTGAGCTGTTTGAGTTTGGGTTGCCTATCGTACGACGGACTACAGTAACCAGATCCCAACAATCGTGCTTGGAAGTCGTGAGAAACTATATGGAGGTTCTAATCAGCGTAGAGCTGAAAAAAGGAGACTGTCCGTTTGCCATGTATCGACCCCGATATGGCCACAAAGTAGCAGTTAGACGCACCATCCGAAGCAATTAGGCCCATATATCATCAGCAGCAACTCAAATACCTATAAGTTTGGCCATTTGAAGTACAAACGATAGCTGTTCCTGGATTCGATCGTTGACGGCCGTAGAACTACAGTCGGCAGTAGCTTATGTCGGAAGGATAAAATGGTACCTTAAAATCGACAATTCAGTTTTGAGGTCGGATTGCACGCGTACACAGTTGCTCGTTACTAGCCATTTGCGAAGACCAATCTACTACGTCCGTAAAGAGCGCCTCCGACATTGAAAATGTCGCGAGACATTCGTTCCGTTTCCGCAGATCCGTAGTGCGCAAGCCAACTAATCTGATCCCGATCACTGCAGCCACAGATTCATGGGATTATAGCATATGGCGACTCGCAGTGATTTTAAAGTCATTACATACATCCCCAGTTTGGCAATTCGATGAAATGTGGGGGCTCTAGCATTTCCCCATGTAGAATGGTGCACAATCTGTGAAAAATAGTCTGACTTCTATGTTGGCGAGGAAGGTGAAGCTAACACAATGGTACCTTGTTAAACAACATGCGAGTGGGAAGGTTGAGAAAGGCAGGAAACAATAAACGATGGAGATCGTGGTTATCTATCGAGTGCAAGGAATTGCGTTCTATAGCATTCATTCATGGTCGTTGACTGATTAATCTGACCCAAAAGACAGTAAGAGGCAGTCTAATCCGGGATTGTGATTGCATCCGCCTGAGATCATTCACATGCACCCTTAGAAGGATTGTGACGGCTTGTGACCACGAGCAATCAGCGCGCAAACATTGAGACCATCACCACCTGTGGTAGCACGTAGAGTTTGTGTGCTAGGTTGACCGATTTGAGCTTGTGAGCAAGGATATTGTCTCGTATGGCTTAGTCTTAAAAAGTCAACGACCCCTTTTCTTCTTCTTCCCATAAGCAGGGGATTAAGAAGTGTCCCTCTAAATTATGAGTAAAAGTTGGGAACTGTTACTCAGTGTAATGTAGTGGAGCAGACGGTATGCGGACTATGCCAATCAGTGCGTCCCCAAAACTTTGCCTGCTGAGGAGAACATTAAGTTGGACAACTAATGATGCTACAGTGAAAAGAATCCTCTTGAATAGAGACCCATCAGTCGGGAACATCAGTAACGAAAAAGCATAAATGCGGGAGGTAAACCCGAACTTATTGATACCCTGGTGTCCGCACTACAATTTCCAGCTCTGCATTCACTCATCCAACAGCTCTACTACTTAGTTGTTCAACCTAATTGAACTGAATTCTCGACTTAATTGCTGTGTTTTGAAAAAATTAGCAAAAACGGAAACGAAATTGTCTCTACACGATTTTGACGTCACCACTATCTGCTCTCACTTGAGGGTGCTCAAGAGAAATCTGCTTTACTACTGGTCAGTCGTGGTGACCGTAAAGCGTTATACTCGCGGGGAGTAGAGCCGTCAGAACAAAGAATTTCATTAACCGGATGTCAAGTCACATGAAACAGTCAAGACAGCCGACAATATAATGTGAGAGGGTACGTCAGACAGGCCCTGTATAGTCGGGGGCCTCAAGCGTATGAACAACAGTAGAGCAGTGGGTGAGATTGAAGCTCATGGTCAGGGGTGCGGGACGACTTTGCAAATTTAAGGTGTTTGATTCTGTATACTCCCGTGTATTTATGATACTGCCATCCGGGAATTTTCGACACAAGTATAACGTGTTCACTTATAGGCACTCCAAATCACCGTCTGGAATACAGACCGCCACTAGCGGTGCATTCCTGTCTGGATTTTGCATGTGACATTCTTCAAAGCACTTACCGTCTTTTTTAACCTGACTGCCCCTCTAAAGAAATAGAAAAGTGTCCAAAAATCATCGGCTTATATTCGGTAATATACGGTAATTTAACCTTACCAAATGGCGGGTAGCACACCTTGTACCATCAAACTGAAGGGACGAGAGTAGACATGTCTGAGAATGTGCTGAAACACAAAAAGGAAACGGACGGCGCTGGTAGTGTGCTGGAAGTAATATGTCCGTTGCAGATAGCTGATCACCTCAAGCACAGATAGATTACTGCAGTATCATATGGGATTAGGTGGTCTGATAAACATTTAGATTATCGAAAGCGAGCCCGAATGCGGGATTCGTCTCATCACAGGGCGATGACGCAGCAGGCTCACTCAGCTGTTCACTGGGTCGACATGAAACGATAATCGACATTTGAGAAGCAGGTAGAATAGCAAAGCTGAAAAGGAACCGAGAACAATACACACAACCGTCGAAGAAGTAATGACAATAAGGCAGAATCGTATGAGCGCATGGGTTGTACTTAAGCAGCGCTATCTTCTTAGTTTGGTTCACATCTGGTGGGAACACCGTGTGAGCAATGAGCGTGCTAGGAGTTTTCTGTATGGCGCGGGAGAAGGAACTGAAACGCTCAGCATCACTACTTCATGCACTAGGCTTCGATGGCTGGACCGTATGTTACGTATAGCAGCACAAATAATCCCACGATGTGCATCGTTTATGCGACCGAGATTCGCATGGAAGAGGTGTAGGCCAATCGATGTTTTGGTCAAGAGGAATGAAGGCCTTCACTTCGAAGTTTGTCGCGGCTGGATCCTCTAAGCTTCGAAATACGGTGGATACGTTTGGTTGTGTCCACTTTTTGACATGGCGAAGAACTGACCTTAAAGCCTCTGCGTTGTGAGTTTCCTTGTCCGTTTCCAGCCCGCATAACCTCATTCTCCGACCACACCTCAGTCCCGAGGCATAATACGACTTTTCGGGTTGTGATACGTTTGTTATGGCTTTTATCTTTCTCATTCTTCTATACTACTATCTAGTTGTTTTCCGTTGCGGCACAATGACTGAGATACTTCACACACCTAGCTAAAGTGTATACTGATACTGAAGCCAGTAACGCGACATTTGTGTTAACAGATAAAAATTAAATCGTCATATGTACGCCGTAACGGTGCTTCGCTGCCACGCGACCAACATCAGTCGCGTGGACAGAGTATACCGCGAGGATCCCCACCCTTACGTTTGCATTAACAAGCAGATGATTAAGTGGACAGATTTCGATTGACATCATTGCTGCATATGCGTCCACAAATTGTAGCACTAACTCGGTGAAAGATAACTTCTGCCACCAATCGAAAGAGCTCACACGCGATTAAGCTACGAATACTGTGGTGCTTGTTGATGATCTGAAGGCCCAAGTTGGAAAAATGTCCACTGAGGAACTGCGTTTGAGCGCCTAACCCGATGCACGCTTTCATAATATCAACGGTAAGCGGTTGCTACACTTGTGCGATGTTCATCTATCGCTTGCTCCTTAGTGCAACCCAGCAGTAATAGAAACTTGAGAGATCACTCCATGAAATTAGCAGAACAGCACGGCCGTCTGGAGTGCCGCAGAAATACATTTTCTGTTCGCATATGTCACCCGTGGAACGTTCGCCGCGAACCAATAGTTGCTGCAATTACATCAGCCATAGTTAAAAGCCGGTTGGATGGCGCACAGAGCCACTTAGATTTTATTACTTACCACTATCTCTTAATTCCAATAGCGAGAAATATCTTGGATTTATTAGTTGTCACTCATTGGAACTGGGAAACTACGCGGTCTACTGTATTAAAAATGGTAAGTCCATTCTTTTGGCAGTAAAAGTGCTAATGTTTTTGACGACCCACCAGATCATCCAAAGAGGTTCGCAAAGCAGTGCTTCGTAACTTGTATAACGTTACGTTCAATGACCGCAAAAGTGCTTTCGATTCGACAGATCGATGTGTGCTTGGGGATTGCCTGCTTAGGTAGGTATGCACGCAGTCTGTACGCACATAGTTCGGATAAAGTGAGGGTATTTGGCTAACTATCGCCACCCTTCAATATCTCAAGCGGCGTGAGACAAGGTTAACCGCTGCCACCTTTGCTCTTTAACTTCTCCATAGACGAAGTCATGGAGACTGTGTTCCCTGGACAGGACCTGCAAGCTGTGAAGATGCTCTAAGATGATCGACTTCTGGAATTGGTGTGCGCCGAGGAAATTGCCTTTATTTGTGACCGCTCACAACAGTACCAAGCAGCAGTGGACAGATCAGCACTGGTTAGCTATGCCCTTGCACCCAAGAAAGGAAAAGTCCTCCTCTGCGCTGATCTGTGGTGGGGATCAGTCAGTCGTCCAGAAATTTAAGTACCGTAGCAGCTAGAATAGCGTCTGTGGAATAGAAGAAGAGGTCACGAGCCGCATAGCAAAAACTCGGGGTGGTTTGCAAATCTCTGACATATGTGGTGGCGGCGCGACATCCCTCTCGCTCTGAAGGTCAGAGTTTACAACACAGTCGTGCGTTCAGTGCTCCTTTACACTTGCGAAACCTGGCCCATCAAGTCGTCAGACATAAACGGCTTGTTAATTTCGACCGTTGCCCCTTTCGCAGCTTAGCTCGTGTCTGGTGGGAAAACCGAGTGAGCAATGAGCGGGTTCTGAGTTGCGTATTTGGTACAGGAAGAGTGAGAGAACTGAGCAGCACCAGGCTTCGATGAATGGGTCCGTGTTACGCATAACAGCACTCTGACTCCAGCGTCGTGCGTTATTTGTGCGACCGGGGTGTGGATGGAAGCAGAGGGTAGGCCAAACGATGACCTGATATGAGGGCTCTGACTTCGAATTTGGTGTCGGTTGGTGTCTTCCGACTGCCGCGCTGGGGTCCGAGGACGAGGAACACCTTTTCTTGAATTCACTGGTCGGAATGGCGAAGAGCGGACCTCAATGGTGTTTGTGTTTTGAGTTGCCTTGTCCCTCTCCTTCCGCTTATCCTCCCTTTCTAACCACGATCGCACACTCGATGCGATGATATTGCCATATTACTTTTCTCGGTTCCTACCTTCATCTCTGTGATGTTCTGTATCTCGCCTTTTTCCATATATCTTACCTACGGAACATTACCTGAGGTGTGTTTTCCAACTTTAACTGTAGAGTAGTGATAAATCGAGGGGAACTGGCATCCCAAACACAAAGAGCTCAGGGAAAATCCGTTGTCTGTTTCCCCCCAAGCACAGGTCTATACTCAACTATCAACCAAAGAGTTAGTAAAAAACATCTCACGCAGACGAGCATGCGCATGCCGCCTCAGATTTCGCGCTTCTCCTCTATACTTGCAATATACGCCGTCAGCAGAGCAATCTGGGCGACGTCGGAAAATTAGCGACGTATTCATAAGGGAGCTTCGACTGAGTCGAGTAACATTGACTTTAAAACATTAGGTCCCCTTCAGCCACTTGATCAAAACAGAAAGAAGACATAGATTGCGATATGTCAACATTTCGATTGTTCTCCTCAGTCGCATACACAATACAAGCAGAAACACATACATAAATATGTACATGGGAAAAAATTGGCACACGAATCAAAACGTCAAACTCAAGACCAACACGATCTAATTGATTGCCTCAAGAGTTTCTGTGCACATAGCACAGGTTGATAGACCCTAAATAGCAACGCTCCACTGATTGCCAACATTATCGGATTCCGGTTAGGTAATAGCACTTTGAACGCAGTCTTTGGGTCTACATTGTGACCAGTTGTCACGAGGTGCTTGGTGATAAATGATGACGGAATATGGTTCATTCTGGGGGGCGGCGCTGCAGTTTTTTGCGTCATCATTTGTTCCGCCCACTTTGGCAAGTGTTCAGCCAGCCTTTGAGCCAACCGACGGTTAGTCCTGCCTATGTAAACGTCATTGCAACTGCAGCAGTTATCCTGAAAAATTCATCCAAGTGCACAGTAGGCTCCCTAAAAAGAAACTAACGGTGCTAACGGCAGAGAAAAAGCAGTTTATCTGTTTGTGCCTTTTAAGAGAGACCATGTGGAAAATGACATCGGACAAAAGCTCAGGTCCGCCCTAACGCGCACGTACACGACTGCCCAGTTGCGTCTCAAGCAACTACTCGGAAACTTGTTCTTCATGACCGTCAAAGCTACTCTTCGGCGTTCAAGCTCTCATGTGGTTTATCAGTTCACTTGCAATTGCAGTGACGTTTACATAGTAGGCCCGTTAAGAACCGATGAGTACACGCGGAAAGTAGATGCAACGGTTCATAAGAGTCTCACGGGCACAATTGCCCCGACTGTAAATATCATCGAATACCTTTATGTTTCACCTTTATTTTGTAACGTGTCCAATGATAAAACTGTTGAAAACAACGGTAAGAACCCATAGACAGAACTCACTGTCAATAGTCACAGACCAACTTCTCCTCTGAAGGTCTGTGCTATCTTGCATTTTTCTTCGTCCGTGGCTTTGAATGCGGCAAACAGTTCCCTATCCACATCGGTAAACTGGGAGAAAGGCATAGGTTAATAACGTAGAAGATCGATGAAGGGAATAACACATACATCTAACCGACAAAGCCCTGCACACATCTATCCAAGAATCTGGCTTCATTCATACATGCAACTTTAGTGCGCCGGTGATCTGTCATTAACAACCTAGATACTATGCTCTAACGTGCATGAGTCAAAGGTCAGCTCTATCAAAAGCGTTATTGGATGGCCTAAAACAGTGGAACTTCATTGGCCCAATACTGTGAATCCAGACTAAACTGGTCATTAGGGTTCACGTCGTCCGCCACCCGAACTCAGTTCACTATGGGTGGCGAAATGCAGATCATTCCCCAGTCTTTGTGATTCGTCTTGCGCTGTCATTAGTTCCCGACATCCCTTTGGATGAACGCTGACAAACAAATCAAAACTGGTAGTGAAGCAGCGAAACTAAGCTCATGGCTTGGAGGAGTGTTGCTTAACACCTGGAGCCCTCCCTTTCAGTGGTGTGATTGCCAACTCAACATCAAGGATAACTTTATTCTCCAAGCACAAAGGATGTGATCCAAGAGTGATAAGCTATGGTGCACTGAAAAAAGGTAGAAATGGTGCTTTGGAAGTTGGCACAAGTTTTAAACGACAAATTCGCTTGGGGTTCGAGTGACACGTAAAATCTCCCGGTCCAAGCAAGAAATGAAGGCAAGACATTAACTACGGTACTCGACAACACCCGATCAGGGTCGAAACAAACGGCTTTCACAGTGTCCAAAGGGAATGCAAACGGTACTTGCCACCGTACATAAGGAATCACAGAATACCGAGTCGTGATCTTGTGTGGGCTGTCGCACAGCAGGTAGGGAATTTTCAAGGGGATTCAGAACTTCCAAGCCGATGGATTCACGCTGAACCTCTTGATTCGTATAGCGAGAGATATCCTCTGGCTTGTCATGCTCAGTGGAGCTGTTTGCTATGTCGGTAACAAATAAATGATCAGACAGTTATAACGCTACCCAAGGCACATAACACCACTTCCGTATCGCTTGAAGTTGGGTCAGTGGGTGATCCAATTTGTCATCAGCGGAATTACCGGTACATAGTTGGAGGAGATCCACATTAATGTATGGTAATGAGTTGGTAACGAAAGAAAATTGTTCCACATCGCTAAAAGATGAGTTGTGACACTGGATGGTGTCCGAGACCGCAACCGATGTCACCGCCTCAACATTATTTATCCCAAAAAGTTTTGACTCCTGATGGTCACTGTACGAACCAATATATGACGAAATAACAGGAGCCACTGATTCGGGTTGAGATGAATCGGTGGTAGACCCGTAATGATTACCTAGCTCCGGGCGTAATTTGGCCATTTCAACGAGTAGCGCCCGTTCCATCTTAACGTCTGCTATCCTTAGGTCGAAAACTACGAGGTGTAAACCCCGGTTACGCTTGCTATTTGTACTAGCGTGCGTCCCAGAGAAAGAAACCAAATCATAGACAGTTGTAAAATGTTTGACTTGCCGGGGTTCCTTCCCTGCTCCGACAATGTTCTCGTATGATTTTGTTCCAACAGACATTTTAAAAAGGTAAGCGATTGTGTTCGGTGGGTACGATAATTCCAACACAGTGGGTGGACTCCGAAAGCAGACTGATAATTAAGCTTACACTCCAAATGTAATGCAGCAAAGTAATGGTTATTGAGTAGTCGCACTCCAATGCAATACAACCCCAGTGGTTGTTTAGTTCTTGGGCTCCAATTCAATCCAACCCAAGCGGCTATTGGATATTTCACTCCAATTTAATCCTAATCAAAGTACGTCTATGGAGTACTTGTATTTCAACTGAATCCGATCCAAGAAACCGTTGTCAAGTCGTTGTACTTTAATCCAAACCAAGAAACGAATGTCGAGTACTGTAAGCGAGAAAATCGCTTGGTGCTCGAGTGACACGTACAAACTCCCGGTCCAAGCAATTAAGGAAGTCGAGACAAAAACTACGGTACTATTCAATTAGTCATCATCATCATTACACGTTAGCTGGAGGCGGAAAACACCTCAGCTATTGTGCCGCAATACAAAAGGCAAGAAAAGAAAAACAGTGGCACGCTGAGTCCCTAGTAACGGATGGACATCGTTCCGGAGAGCTAACAGCTGGCTGCCGTAAAAGATAATCGTATTATGCCTTACAGGTGAGATCGTGATTGGAGGGGGATACTAAACAGGAGGGGGTGGACAAAGGAAATCACAACACAAACGAAACTGGTGCCGGCTCCGAGCCATATCAGCAAGTGTGTCCAACCAAACGTGTTCATCGTCCTTAGGACCCCAGCCAGGCAGTCGGGATGCACCAACCGACGCCAACTTCGAAGTGAGGGTTTTCATTTCTCTCGACCAATTCATCGCTTGGCCTCCCCTCCTTCTCTTCCAACCGCACCCACAACGCGCAAACAACGCACGTCGTGGGAGTCGGTGTGCTGGCATGCGCAACATGTGGCCCAGCCATCGGAGCCTGGTGCGTGATATAATCGTGCTGAGCGGTTCACTCGCTCTTCCTGCACCAAATACGCGACGTCGAACACGCTCATTGCTCACGTGGTGTTCCCACCAGACATGAGCTAAGCTGCGAAGTCAGCGATGATCGAATGTGACGAGCCCCTTCATGTCTGTCGACCTGATGGGCCAGGTTTCACAACCATATAGGAGAGTTGAACGGACGGCTGCGTTGTAAACTCTGCCCTTGAGGGCGAGAGTAATGTCGCGTCTGCGCCACAGGTGGCGGAAATTGGCAAAAGCACCTCGAGCTTTTGCTATGCGGTTCGTAACCTCATCTTCAATCCCACGGGTGCTAATATAGCTGCCCAAGTACTTGAATTCCTGAACGACTTCTAGCAGATCACCACCAAGCGTTAGCGCAGGGTTGGGTCCCTGCCAATCTTGGAGAAGTACTTTGCATTTCGATGGAGCAAAGCATAGCCCAAAACGATTGACAGCCAATGCTAATCGATCCAATGCTATTTGGCATGTTTGGGAGCTGTCGCAGATTAGGGCAATATCGTCTGCATACTCCAAGTCAAGAAGTCGCTCACCAGGGAGTAGCTCCACACCTTCTAGGTCGTGTCCAGCGAACGCTGTTTCAATGACTTCATCAATAGCGAAGTTGAAGAGGAAAGGTGACAGCGGGCATCCTTGTCTCACACCGCTGGTGATACTGAAGGGTGGCAAGAGTTTGCCATAAACCTTCACCCAGCGCGAACTATGCGCGTACAGCGCTTTGATAATGTTTACATATTTATCAGGCACACCTTTCCTCAGCAGACAGTTCCAAAGAGCACATCTATCGACTGAGTCGAAGGCACCTTTTATGTCAAGAAACACGACAACGGTGGGTCGCCAATAAACATGGCGGTGCTCTAACACTTGACGCAATGTGAAGATGTTGTCGATGCAGCCCCGACCTCGACGAAATCCGGCTTGCTCTTCACGAATCTGGCTTTCACGAGTGCCAGTCAGTCTGTGGATAATGACAGAGGCAAGCAATTCAAGCAATTCAATTAGTAATCAGAATATAATATGTACATGCCTGAACAATGTCCGATCAGGTCTAAAACAATCGGCCTTCCCAATCTCCAAAAGGAATGCAAACGGTACTTGTCACCGTGGTGGGTTGGCTCAGTCAAACAGTGGGGGGTGCGAGGAAAATAGAGGTGCGTATCGCTGGGACGAGAGGGGGATTCTAGTCTGAGGGGTGTGTGGGTGGGATGGTCTGGAAAGGTTGCACAGCGTGAGCGAACGGTTTCCACAGTGTGAGGTGAAGTGCAGTCATGGCAACATCGATTTGAGATCACATGAGGGATAATCGGAAAGCCAGCGCTCATCAATTGCGGCAGACGTCTGCTTTGGTCATCCTGACTGAGATCCTGACGTGTGGCTTGCTAATTAATAATACTTTTGTCGGTTGGCATGTAACCACGGCACATAAACTGGGTGAGCGGATAGGTGGTAGGAGTTAAGAATTAAATCATATTATTCATCTCGCGAATTACATAACACTTATGTCGAGAGAGCATGTAACCATGAGGCATATAGTGGGAAAACAAATACTTGGTAGGAATCCAGAGTTAGATCGCGTCATTCATCTTGTGAACTGCGTGGTACATTTACCGCTGACACAGGTTAGCACCAGACGGCTAGCAGAATGATGTCTGAAGACAGTCGAAGCCAGACCACCATTGGCCAAGCAAACAAGAAAATAATGGAATTTGCTTGCGATCCAAGGTATCTGCACTTCGGAACCGGTACACAGTGCAACTTTCCAACCATTTGAACTACAAACAGGCAACCCAACGCACGCCGGAACTGAAGTAAGTAGTGGATGACCTGTACACCCGTCTGAACCGACCCCAGGTGGTAGGTTTGGGATTCACTCAACAAGCGATTGTCAGCTGACCTCACAATAGTCTGTAGGGGGCACTTCTGCGCTCAGATTAGCCTCTGGTGTCGGTAGCTCTCAATTGTTTTACACACGCACAAAACCTCCTCAACGAAGCGCTGAGCTTTGACCTCATCAAGTCTCAATGTTGTGGTTAACCGTGCTAATCGAGACATGGCACATTAATGTGAAGCATGTCACTCTTTCACAAAGCTTGACGCACTAAGGGAAGCAGCGTAATTCCCTACCACTACTCTGGACCAAACGTCAGTCGCATGCGTTCAAGCCTTAACCTCGTTACGGCACCGCCTACGCCTAAGGCTGGGCGATATTGGTATACTTGTACTGACATACCGTCCATCAATATCCACGCTAGAAATGGATCAGCTTCTAATTTCCGTTATAAAGAACCTACTTCCTTACTCTAGCGACCACGTTCTCCTGGTAGGGAACTTTGACCCACACACCCTAGAAGCTCTGACCACGCTGGTTGAACAATTCAAAGTGAAACTGCAAGATCTAATCGTTGGGTCGAGGTTTGCAACTGTTGCGTCTCCAACACGTTACAGGACATGGAACGAACCGCTCACT